ATTTTATATTTTTACAAATACTGTGTCTAGTACATCACACACACATGAAACATATTGTACGAGTGTTGCCTTAAAAAAATATCTTAGTGTCTTAAATAAATGAACCTATCGCGTACAATGTAAACAGCAAACAGTTGTTAAGTAACTATAAAAAACAAATGTTCTATAAACCTATGGCTATTAGCAAGATCACTATTCTTTGAAATATCAGGTAAAATATTGGCGTGTTTATTGATTTGTGATATTTTACATGAATAAAATTTTAAATATTTAAAAGTCTTGACTGGTGATCCTATTTATTATATTCGCATTCGAAATATTAAATTCGATACTTTGGGCAAGGTATTCTTAAAGAAGGTGTGTGTGTGTGTAGTGACGAAAGGAAATCTAGGTACATTATAAGGCTCTGATATAATGAGTCACCGTGGGAAGTCGCGCAGGTGACGGCGCCAGCGCATGTCAGATACATTACCTGCATCATAAGTGGCCCAGTTGTTGAAACAGTATCACATTAAAAACCCGCCATGTTCTTAGAACCTTTGATCTATCCTACAGAGATTATAATTCAATGATTTATTGAGAAATAGTCCAAATTTTCCTACACTAGGAAGAATTTATATATACCAATGGCGCTACAATCTTATAGGTCTGGGCCTCAGATTTCTGTATCTGTTCCGTGATCACTTCTAATAGGAAAGTACCCTCTGTGCCTGGTCACACACCGTCGACTCCTTGGGTTTAAGGCATGCTGGTTTTCTCACGATGTTTTCCTTCACTGTACGAGCCAGTGTTAATTGGGCCCATAGAAAGTCTATTGGCGCAAAAAGGGGGATCGAACCTACGACCTCAAGAGGAAATTCGCAAGCTGAAGACAATTAACTGTCTGTTTGTCTGTTTCTATCTGTGCACAGTCGGGGATTGAACCTACGACCGGGGAAACTACTAGGTTAACACTGTAAGAAGAATTTACCGAAAGGGATTTTTAAATTCTTCCCAGCGGTTTAAAAAATTTCTATCAAATTCAAATGAAAAATTATTAAAAAATTACCTTTTATTAAAATTTTAGTATTTAATTTTTCATTATATTGTAGCGTTTAAAATGTTATCACTATTATAACTTACTGTGTGATTTATTAATAGGAATCGTTGATGTAATCCTGCGCCTTGTTTGTTGCGCAATTAGCAGCCTACCTAGAGCCTATAGTAGTTATTTACTTTTTATTTAATGCTTCGTTAGTGTTAGCTGATAAAAGGCGAACAAAAAAATCAAATCCTTTCCATACCAGGTATTTATATAACTAAATTCTAGTTTTCAGATTTCCGTTTCATAGCTTTTCTAACTGAAAAGTTAAGGAGGTTATCAATTCGTCGTGTAATTTTTTATTCGATTAATTGTGCAGTACTCGTGAAGCCTTAAATATTATGACCATAGAACCTCTTTGTGTTTTATACAGACTGTACTATGGTGAGTGTTCTGAAGATTTTTTTGGGTTGATCCCTTCTGCCTCGTTTCAACACTGCGATTCGAACTCACTACAAAAACTCACACCCCCTTTTTATCGGCGGTCGCTCTCAAATCAGTCGTGAAGCAGTCATTTTATGATTTGGCATTCTGAAAAGGTGGGAGCTTGTAGTTTATTGTTTAGCTGAATGCCAAATCATAAAATGATGCTTCACGACTGATTTGAGAGCGACCGCCGATGCGAAAACCGCTGCGTGAGTTCGTGAAGTGAGTTACAGAATCGCAGGGCTGTACGAGCCTAATCAATTCAAGATTTCACCAACATCACCTTGATGGCTGGAAGTCTTCCACAGTCCGTTTCTCAAGGCACTTTTTTTGCGAACTAGTGAACTGTGGAATTGACTCCCGGTGGGGGTCTTCCCTGAGAGATACGACCTCCAATTTTAAGTTTTTGACAAACGGGCAGGAGGCTCGTCTGATCTTAAGAGATACCACCCATGGACACTCAGACAGCTAGAAGACTTGCAAATGCGTTGCTGGCCTTTTAAGAAATGGTACGCTCTTATCTTGAAGGCCTTTAATACGAATTGGTTTGAAAATACTTCAGTGGATAGCTGATTCCACATAGTGGTAGTCCAGGGTAAAAGGTGGTGGCTTTAGCGCTTAGTATCGCCCTTTACATCAATATTTCAGTTTTTAAGTTCATTGTTAATATAATTAATTAATATAGTGTAAATAAAATAAATAAATAAAAGCATAGGAGAGATAAATGATATATAATAAACAATTGATGTTTTGTTTATAATTTAGAGGAACAGACTTATAAATTGTTTTATTCTGACGTCTATGCGCTCGTTGTTATTATTATTGGAATAAGGTTTTGTAAGATAATCATTGTATATTATTAATGAAAGTATCGCATACAAGAAAATATTATTTATACCTTATTTTTTAAATATCGAGGTAGGATATATTTAATGCTTATTTTTACTTCAGCATAATATAAAATATATCCTAGAGGTCCCGAAAACAATGGCTCAATATTCTTTTTTTTTGCTGTTAGTGTATCATTATACTAAACATTTATTATCAAATAGGATATCGACTTAACATACTAAAATAAAATCTTACAAAATGATAACCATGGTAACATAATGTCACTTCACAGGTCTACGATTAATAATCTCTAAATGAATACTTTAAAGTGTTTATATAGTCGACTTAGGGTCATTCAAGAAAAGAGCGTACCAATTCTTACCAGCAACAAACTCGACTCGACTCGGCACTTAAGGACCGATCTGGTCGCTAAACTCCAAAAAAGTACATTGTTTCTTTCCATTTTTCGTCATCGTTTCTTGAAGTAGGGCGAATGGAAATATATGGTGGAGTTGAGTAGTTTATGTATCCATTTTGAAAGATCGATACACGAAATAACTTCGCTTGATACAAAAAAAATCCAAAAAATTTTGACACTTTGGATTCATTTTATGACGAAAATGTACGAGTATATAGAACATGATTTTGAAATTTACACGATATATTTTATCGCAAGCCAAGTAATCCATTTCAGAAAAAAAAATGATAAAATTACATTTATTTAAATGTTTTACATAACTAATTGTTATTACGGGTCAGCGCGCCTCAGTGTTCCAGCTCTCCACTGCGCCCGCAGCAGCGCAGACAGACTGCGCAGTCCACCCACACAGCAATTCGTGGTGGGATAGGGCCTTAACATCAGATGAGCCTCCTGCCCATTTGCCATCTATCTTAGAAATACGTCAGGAATTATTACTTCTTGTCTCATGACCCACATAATTACGGGCCACACACATTGCACATTCGAAGCATTGTTTAGTTTCAGTACTATAATTAACTGAAGGCGATTTTCACGGGGCGCACCGCGATGCCAACTGCGCGTGCGTCCATGCTTAATTTCCCTACTCAATAAAACAGCGTATGTTTGTACTGAAAATACATTTACTGTCAGTTGTTTGATCAAACCGTTTTAATGGAGTTGGAAAAATAACGCTTTGTGTACAATTTATGGTGTTGATCGACCGTTCGTTTCGGACTTTTATCGTTTGTTTGAATATAAAATGATTTAATTGTGGTAATCGTATACTTTTTAGAGTAGCATTCCTTTTTTACATAAATTGTGGTTTAAACGTAAAGTTTCTTTAGATATTACAAGCCCTGACTTAACTTTAACGCCCGGCTGCTTTGACTGAATAACTTTTAGGTTTTTGTATAGTTAGTGAATTGTACAGCTCTTCTTTATTTTTTTCTATAGTAACCGGATGTAAATATGTCCGGATGTCTTCGCCAAATCTCTCAATGGCTTTCAAATAATCTCCTCTCACTCGATATTTGTAAAACGATATGCTATATAGTTCGATACTATCTTACTGCATCTTGGTATGGGGTGGAGCGGCATCGTCTTCTATTCTGAAAATAGAGTGTGCCCAACGCGCCATTCTTGAGATATCCTATATGATGCGTGTTCGCTACCCAACTTCAAAAGTCTATAATGAAACAAAACTACTAACGGTTGACCATACTTAATGGCATTATGGCGACTTTTTGCAAAGGAACACCGACCACACCACATCAGACACAACCCAAACTTGCATATAAGTTACCCAAAACTCGCACTTTCTTCGCCCAACGATTTTTCTCTTTCAGAGGCTTTTTCTTTCATCTTTAAATATTTACTACCAATTTTAAGCAACATCTTCTAAATTTGTCCTATGCTGTAACCGCAAGTATTCTTCTTGTCCAACAGTAGTTTAATTATAAAATAGTACGTGTTATATAGGATTTATTACGTCAAATTCATAAAATGGAAGAGCCCAGCTGCCCGTGACAAAAGGAATCCTAGTGTGGGCTAGGGCATTTTCTCTTTTAACTAGGTATACATTCTTTTTTATTCTTCTTTTTCTCTTGTAAATAAATAATAATATATCTACGAATCTTTTGATCAACTTTTCCTTTATTTATAAATGTTGTCATAATTGATGAAAATCTATTTGTGTTCGATTACCTGTACGATTTTAGAAATAACCGTATAACGTTTAGGGCGGTGCTACTTTAATATCAATTGATTTTGAAACAAACGAGTCAATTTCATGGTACAATAGAACTTCCTTTGGAGCGTGAAAACTCGACCATGGCCACGGATATCCTCCACAAATCACCCAAAACCACCGTGAGACCTTATTATGTGCAGGTGGCTCTTTTATTTATGCAAACATTAACTTGATTTTACGTTTTGATGAAAAGGGACAAAAATGTTTTATTGGACTGATTTGAAGAATGGCAGATAGAAAGGGCCACCAGGGAAAATAAATAGAGCACGGTGGGTGGGAAAGATTGGGAGAAAAATGACATATCAAGATAGAGAGAGATGGAGCCAGTTGATGGAGCTGTATAAGTCCTTGTCCTTGAAAAAAATATTATTAATTTTCTATAAATTTTACGGAATAAATGAAGCTTAATTATTATTAGACTACTAAATTAATTATAAATGTTATTTCTTAGTATGGATAATACTTTATTACTGTACTTAGGTCTAGAATTTTCTATCCATTCTTTATACAATATTTACTCCTCAAAAAGACCTCCTCCAAAATGTGTCGCCTGTTCTAACCTTCTTCAGTCGGTCTCTTCATTTCTGAAGGCCGCGTCAGTGGCGCTGCACAACTTCCTCAACTCTCCCCTGTCTTCAGCAAGCATCTGCGCCAGGGTGATGGTAAGACCCTAATTATTACCCCATTATAACCTAACCTAAGATTTTTATGTCGACATACACCTTGGATAGTTTATTTCTAATTCAATGCTAACTACGAATATGGTTATAAATGTTTATGTTGGTTACTTTAGGTTTTTTTATGATACAGCATACAAAAATACATACAACCCATAACTTTCACCACTCTACGATCAACCCCTATTTTTTATTATAGTAGATAGTTATTTCTATTGAACTAAAAACATGGCAAAACAACGTTTGCCGGGTCAGCTAGTAATCAATTACATACTAATGATAATATGAATAATATATTCATTTCAACAAGTTTATGAACTGATTGAATTTGAACTAAAGTTTCCTGAGATCACCAACCAGTCTTCATGTCACACTTTGTTGCAAACCCTGACGATTAGTATCGTCTGTCGTCGTGTCATGCAAGATGCGAAATAGTAACTATCACAGTTAAATAAAATCGATTATAACATACGTGTAGAATATGTGAAACAGTAAAAAATTTAGATGGAAATGTTAAAACACCTCATATAAGTAATGTATATACACAAACGTACTACGTATTAAAAAAAACCAGTGTCGAGTTATGTAACCTAAAATTATATAAGTTACATGGATATTTTAGTTAATAATTAGAAGCGCAAACCAAATGTTAGCAGTCATCGCACACTTGAAGCCAACATAAGCTAATTTATTTTTTCCACACTTATAAATAATTGTATAACATTCTCGTTTTCGATTTTATCCAATATACTGCACTTATATTCTTTAAAGGGTTCAGAAGTGTTTCTGAGATTTAAGAATTATCCGTTAGTTTTTTGTTAATCCAGCGTCAAACCCAAAATTTTATGTTAATTATAAGCTCATGTTTTAAACGATTAAAGCCAGTTGACACCCAGCTTCAAACAAAGAGTTTTATTTAACATACCTGTTAAACATTACGTAAAAAACTTACGTTTCTTCAACAACCGTCCCCGAACATACCTGGCGCTAAAACCTTTTTAGGTCTGGGCCTCAGATTTCTACATTTATTTCATGCTCATTTGTCAATCAAATAGGCAAGTATCAGGTGATCAGCCTCCTGTGCCTGACATGACTTATTGGATCTAAGGCATGCCGGTTTCCTCACGATCTTTTCCTTCACAGTTCGAGCGAATGTAGAATGCGCACATAGACAGAAGCTGTGCACAACCAGGGAAAGCTTATCAAGTTTTTTTAAATATTGTAAAATATGCTAAAGAGGAAATTCTCTTGTTACGACGCTAAATTTCTGATTCCATACAAGTTACTTCAGTGCTTAGGTCCGGTAAAGGTCTTAATCCCACTCTAAGACTCAGTATAAGTAATACGGATTTCCATGAACTATTATGAAGTACATTTGGTAATACGTACCGTTATGCGCTGTGCCCATTTGTTGACCCAATAGAAGCGCACGCGCAGCTGCTCGGCGCCAGCACATCTGTGAGACCCATTGTTACTACTGTTTGTTATTGTCGACTATTATTAGCAACATTAACTGTCTACATTTAGTATTATTAGGGCTAATCATGAAAGCTGGCATGCACCGGCCGAAATTTGTTAAAATTGCAACGAAAATCTGGTAACATCCAGTTCCAGACAATACCAGTTTAGTCAGAGATGAAAATCCTTTTAGTTTGTCAATACGTTTATTAGAAAGCATTACGCCGCTTTAATAAAAACATAAGATAGATTGGAAAAAAACAGTTCTTAATCCGCATAGTCTAGTTATCATGAAAGTATGCACTTTGCCTTTTTTATGACTACCGCTGAGTCATATTTATCAGTTAGTCACGCAGTTATTTTATTTTCTTTGGTGCTTTTTCCGGCGATTTGAAGGCTACGCAGGTTTGAAGGCTGTTCAGATGCGTCATTTTGAGCTGGGGCAGAAATATTCCTGTCTCTTTATCAGCGTTTAGTAATTTCAAACACTTTTTCTTTCCTTCGGCAAACCCGGAATCCAGAACTTCTAGATTAAAGACACTATGACCAAGACTTGGAAATATTGCTTTTGATTTTCCAGGAAACATATCAATCCACGAATCGTCTCAATCGATTTCTCATTGCACGTCAACAATGCATCAACGTATTTTAGCATCTGTCGGTAGCAGCCGCCAGTGACATGTGCTGTAAAACAAAACCAGAGGGCCGAGGGGTGAGATTTCCTAAACCAGGTGAGAGTAACTTCACATATGTTGCCACGTGTGGGGAACCCCTTTACAGGTGCTGTTACGTGAATGAATTCATTGTTGGCCGCTTCATTGACAAATGTGGCATTTGGCGCGCAATTTTGGCGGGAGAAAGGGCGGTAGTTAAAATAATAAATAATAACTTTATGGTTCTACCAATATGTACTGGCATCGATATGTAGGTGGTAATCTAAAACCGTGTGGTTGCTGTTTATATTTCAATTTCAATTTCAAAAATTGTTTATTTTGTTTCACAAAAATTTATAGTGCTACATATCCAGTGTACATTATTTCCTGGAATGTAATAAACTTACAACTAGACACGTTTTTACAGCTATTTTGCTTTTTTTAAATTCAAAAATTTATAAAACAAAGTTATATATAATGTTTCGAAAGGAACGAATATAGAAAGAAGAAAGATAAAGAAGGTAGTAGTACAGCCTTGCTCTTTTTATTTACCTGAAAATTGTAAGTTCAAATAAATTTATTTCCGTGAAGACTGCAGTAAAACTTAAAACTGAAAACAAAAGTCTTGTTTACATGGTAAGATTGCTTACTAATATTTAATGTACATTAATTTTGTGAGAATGTTCCAGATAACATTATATAGTTATACCTACACAATCTTTTATCACCATAACCAAAAATTATTAATAGCAATTTATAAAACACCATCTTTAATAGATATTCAAATCTAATCTTATTAAAATATGCAACTTCAAACATGATTATAACATGCTGAGCATTAAAAAATAATATTCAAAATTGAGTAAACTGCTTAGCATAACGTTAAACCCTATAAAAACGTTTATTCCCATATTAAGATTCACCGCTGAACATTTCGTTTGGCCTTTGGCAGGTGTACCTTGATTAAGGTCAAGGAGTTCCCAGTGCAATGGGTCGCTAACTTCCGTTAGACCATGACAGACCGTTGTAAGAATGTGAAGTTGCCAGCTGTGTAGACGTGGTTGACGCCTTCGTCGCAATATTATATGATATTAAGTTTTTAGGAAATATTAATAAAATAAATAAATAATAAATCAGTGGCGCTCCAACTTTTTTTGTCTGGGCTGGACTTCTGTATCTGTTTCATGATCGTATGTCAATATAATAGGTTATCACACCGCCTCAGTACGTCAGTCAAATCATTTATTCCAATAAGACCACCTAAAATGGCCTTTTTGAACGTTAAATAAAATATAAAGATGATTCTAGTTGCCCCTTCCAAAAGGTAGTTTCGTGTGGAGAAGTATGGGCAAGAAACTCCACACTTACTCTTTTAAAATAGGTTTACAATATTTCGTATACATTAGTTAAATAATTATATGTGAAGACAATGTACTCCAAGAATAAAACTACTATACTAAAATGGGCACCAAGTATTACTTACAAATTAAGCAGTGCAGCGGATAGGTTAATTATTGTATTGTTAGTATAAATGTTCCTCAGATTTTTACAAATAATGAAACCGTAGAATATTATACATTAAAGAGTAATAATAAAAAAAACAATAAAACAGTGTGTGAGATAAAAATAGAATAATTATTCTATTTTTAGTTTATTCAGTTTGTAGTATTATAAAAAAATATTAACAAAAATATGTAAAATTAGATCAGCAACCAATTTGATTTTGTCAAGACTCTATGATTGTTCTATGGAGCAGGACCAGCATGTTTCCTGTGCCTGATACACGCCGTCAACTTTTTGGGTCTAAGGCAAACCGATTTCCTCACGATGTTTTCCTTCACCGTTCGAGCGAATGTTAAATGCGCCCATAGAAAGAAAGTGCATTGTACGACCAGCCATCGAACCTACGGCCCCCGGGATGAGACTCCCACGCTGAAACTAGGCCAACACGGCTTTGCCAGAAATATTTATTATTATTATTACGAAAAACACACTATTGAACTAGCATCGTATCATACTTGTTTGAATAAGCTATTGCCTACACTGTCCCTTTTAAACTCATAGTTACAACGATCTAAAATTATGGCAAAACAGTATAGGACAGGCGGACGCGGTCGAAGTTACAGCTTCCTCATTAGCAGCGGGTAATCGGCCCTTCCGCCACTTAAATGTTTAACAGTACAATTGATATACTACACTTTACTCCAAGGGTACGACTGATTGGAAATTATTTTGAGGGGGCTTAACAATCTTCATGGTAGGAGGGTAGTCTCACCAACTTAACCAAGTTCCGTCTACCGTTGTTATTAAAAATATTCCAGTGAATAATACAGTGCAAATATATTTCAAAAGTCTAAATTCGATACAAATAAAGATTTAAAAAATTGTTTAATGCGAAACTTCGAACAAATGCTTGAATAACAAAATTACTCGACGCATTGAAGAAGTGACTCACCGGCCCCTCATTTAACATTTTTTATGACATGTATGTTGAGTGCAAAAAAGGAGTCAAAAGCTACTATTTATTGTGGAGTGGAACGTTAATTAATATATCTCACAGTGAAGTGCATACTGCTACATTTATAATTATTAGTCATCACATTAAAATCACTACCAACCAAAATATATATAGAAGAAATTTAACCACTTCGTCAACCATACTGCCGCCTCAGACGACCCTCCGCCCATCAGTTACTTCTTCTTGTTTAAGTTGTAGTGTACTTTCTTTTTTAAATTTTTATTGTGTTTTATATTCTATTCGATGATAGTTGATGATAGTTCCGGCTCCGACTGTCTAACTAAATACATAGTGTAACAACTCGTATTTCTACGAATAAACTTGAATATACTTAGCTCCGGTTAAAAAATTTAAATTTCATACATATTGTGATAAACTATACTGCACTAAATCAAGTCAAACTGTGTTATCAAGATAATTGTTCAGTGGTTAAAAAGTGGAAAAAACTTTGAGCTCCTCCAACAACATTAGCTTGCCATTTCAACAAAACTAAGGCGGGTCGTCTACCAACATAATAGTCCTATTAAGCTCGTTCACAATAATACGTTTCATTTCACGTAACACAGGCATGGATACCTTCAATCTTTTTTGAACAAATGAAAATAGTGTCAAACCGTGACATTATGGCACGGATTGATGAAAACTATTCCTTTTAGCTTGAATGCAGATTAAAATCAAATAGAAATTAAAGGAAAAAATAAAAATCTTAAAAATTTAGAAGATACAACAACCTAATTTTATATGGAGTAAAAAAACCGAAACATCACTATCGACCTAATCGAAATAATCAAAAAGAAATTTGAACATGATTTAAACATTACTTTTGAAGATAGGGATGTGAACACGATCTATAAATTGGCAAAAATAACACAAAAAGGAAAAGAAAGGCCTATCCTCCTAACATTCGTGAACGCCTGGAAGAAAAAGAGATAGTGGTAAATAAAAAGAATTGAAAAACTTGTATTTATCTGAAGACTACCCGAAAGAAATATTGGACATGAGAAGGAATACAACCAAAATTGGAAGAGGAAAGGAAGAAGGGCAATTCTACATAAACTCACTAATTTTAGGGCCCGGTAACGGCAAAGAAACATCAACCTCCCTAACCATAGAGCACCCTCACAACTGTCAACAAACAGCTCGGTTAAATGCATTCGACATAATGAGGAATAGAAGTAATTCCTTACCTTCTGCCAATTCAACGTTCAGAATCTTAGGATATTGCCATCACCACCGGAACAAAACATTAAACAGACGAGAACTTAGATAAAAGAAACAAAATTCCCCAATCCGACTTGTCATCTGGACGACTACAACCCTCCACCAATAGAGAAATAGATCATGGTATGAAACGAACACTCAAAATCTGCAATTATAATGTAAAATCCTAGGATCAATAGAACGATTCCTTGAATTGACTAATGCTCTAAAAAATATTAACTGGGACATTATAGGCCTTGCAGAAGTCCGAAAAATGGGATGTAAGTAGAAGAGCACAGCGACCTTATATTTTGCTATATTGGCGAAACTAAAGGACTATATGGAGTGGGATTCCTTATCAAGAAAATGTATAAAAATAATCTCAACTTTTAGGAATCTCTGAAAAGTAGCACTTCTACAAATGAGTTTGATTGCTTCTCTTTTTCATATCCAAGCATATGCACCGACAAGATCAACAGAAGAAGAAATTGAAAATTTTTACAAACATTGAATTTGCTCAACAAAACAGAAGGGAAGGCATTGTCATGGGAGATTTCAACGCGAAAATAGGATGTCAATCTTCCAGTTGGGAAAATATGGTTACGGAGTGCGGAATGATAGAGGGGAACGGCTCTTAATTTATGCTCATCAATCACTTCCATATGCTCATTTTTCAAAAAAAAGCAAGCTCTAGATGGACATGGTTATCACCCGACCACAATAAAAATGAAATAGATTTTATTATGATAACCCACAATTATAACTAATATTGAGGTACTTAACAAAGTTGATTCTCTTCCGATCTAGTTGTGAGAGCAACATTACTTTTGAGTAGTCCAGTAAAAGCAGAAAAACCTTCACACCACTAATATCCCCAACGAAAAGAAATAAAGTGCTACATCATCTACATCAGAAAATATAAAACCAGCATTGTATTCAATACTACAATTCCTGGAAAAAGGCTCGAGAGCTTAAATACAAAACCAATATGTTCCCCCCACAATATCTTCTCAAAACACAATGGACTTTTAAAAAGCCACGGACTACTACACACAACAAAAATATGAAACAGACTAGCAGTATACAAAAACTTAGTCAATCCTAAGGACTCCCCGATACGAGATTATTACAAGAACATTAAACATTTTAGAAGTGCCAAAAAACATACAAAGAATTAACTACCACAAGTCCTGGATTCGAAAACTTGAAAATAACTCACTAAAAACAAAATCCAGAAAAGATGTAATAAATCACCTACTAACTTCTACAAAAACTTATATAGTAAACAAAATAACCCCAAATCATATCGCAACAACCCTCAACACGACATCACATCAACAATTGAATACTCCAAGTTTATGATCATATGAAAAACTGAAACCAAAATCCCGCCGGATTGCAATGGGCACTTAAATGACACCCATTTTAACATATCATTTTACGCGATTGTTCAATAAGATACTAGATGAAGAAAAGGTACCAAAAGTGTGTCATCGGATATAATCCTTCTCTTCAAAGGAAATCCCTTAGATATAGGGAATTACAGGCCCATAAGTC